ATCGTGGGTAACATTACAGATGGTGGATATTATATGCCAAATCTGAACTGCCCTCCTTTTAACCTACCGAAACCCCTGATACGAAGACGAAGCAACATTGTCATGCCTCGCAGGTTGGATGAATTTCATCTTTACGAACTAGACTCTACTATTATAGCAGCCGCGAAAAATCTAGCGAATGCATGTCATTAGGAAGCTATCCATACGACTGTTCCAATCTCAAGTACAGCTCATGTTCCTAGTTCGAACAGCTTCAAAGTGTTGTTTTTTCTAAATCGCATATATATGAACATACGATTTTTTTTAAATATTTTTGAGTAGAGAAATGTCTACTGAATCGAATGATGCAAAAATCATTTAATTATCTTGAAAAATAGCTGAGTAATTAGCGATAGTTTACAAGTGATTGAATGTGTTCAAATTAGAACCACTGCGTCTAATAAGAACAACAAGCCAAAAAATATGCTTAATTCTGATACTCTATGTAAAATACATGGAAGAAAAGAAAATTTTTGTAAATGAACTTTTTTGCTACCTTAAATTGAAAATTCTTTTGTACTTCCAACACAAAAAATATTCATTCCAAGATTCAGGATTTTTCAATTCATAATGACTGAGATATTAAACTTTTAAAAATAACTCGCCTGTCCTGTTTAGAAACACTTTTCTTAATTCGAGCAGTCTATGTGATATGCATAGAAAAAGAAAAATTTTTAATAAATCAAATTTTTTTTTATTCTAAACGTGAAAATTTTGACATATTTCTGTTACAAAAAATGTTCCCTGATAGATCCTTCATTAACTTCCAGCGGTTCAAGACAAAGAAAATTTTATTTTCGTTTTTGTAATATCAGTTAAAAATCATTGAGTTATCATTAAATTATAACTATCATAACTCAATCATAATTTCAAAGCGATCAAAAAAAAAAAAAAACGATCTTCTATTGAGACTTCATGTATTTCTTTAGAATTTTGCTCCTTTTGTGATGAAAATAATTTTCTTGAAATTTCAATGAAGTAGCGCAATAATTTTCTGTTTTACATCAAAATAATGTGATATAAATAATTACAATGAATAATAAAAATGATTCGATTCAATCATGAATGTAATACTGTTGTACAATCGGCGATATGAGATGAAATTTTTTGAACCTGTATATATATTGAGAAAAATAACGAATGAATCTTAAAGCATATGCCTACATAATTAGTATCATATATTGTTGTTTAAATATTCTGGATTTTGATCTAGCTGATCAATGGCATTCAAACTATCAAGCTTTATACAGAGTGTCCCAAAAGTCCATCAGGAAAGTAAAGTCTTCTAACTTCTTTATTTGTCAAAAGAAAACAACTGTATTTTGTTCGTATAAAAGGCATCATCGTGAAGTTTTTTTTGATACGAATCAACTTTACAAACAACATTAAAAGATATAACTTTTGACTGAAATACAAAAACTCGTACTGACGATCACTAATATACTACAAAAAGCATGTTAATAAAATAACCTAAAACAATTAAAAACTTAAAATATCACAAAAATTGAAATAGTCGAAAAAATCAACCAATGTGCACTTTTTCCAGTAAAATTCGAAAAAACATATTTTTTGTATTTCAGTTAAAAGTCATATCTTTTAAAGTTGTTTGTAAAATTGATCCGTATTAAAAAAAAACTTCACGGTGATGCCTTTCATACGAAAAAAATACAGTTGTTTTCTTTTGACAAATAAAGAAGTTAGAAGAATTTACTTCCCCGACGGACTTTTGGGACACCCTGTATGTAAAAATTCATTGACTCATGTTTCGAACAAAAACAATAATGCTCTTTTGATACTGTATATTTCCTATAATTGAGTGAAATCTTTTATCAAAATACAATGCTCAAAACATTCCAATGTTATTTTTCTAGTGGACAATAATTTCGAACATAAGTTTTCGATATCCATACGATCAATTTCTCCATTCACAAATAAAAATATGAATTCGTTTCCATGAATTCAGTATATTCAAAAGTATAAATATGTGCTGTGGCTTTTAATTAATAAAAAAGAAGATATGATTTTCAAAGGGTGTGAGTGTGGGTGTGAGTGGGTATGGGTATGGATGTGTGACGGTGTGGGTGTGGATGCGGATGCGTTTGTGTGTCGTTAAAGAGAAGAATAACATCCAGACTCATACCCACACCCATTGTTATTTATGGTAAATGCTCTGTCGCTGACCCATCTCGAATTCTTTTCAATTTTTGCTAATTTGCTTCCATGTTTATAGAATGGAGGCAAAAAAGATCTAAAAACTTATTTACTAAATGAGCAAAGTACTGTGTAAAATTGCTTTCGTAAAAGATATATGAATGACTATCAGTTGCTATGACCTTTTTTTCGTGTTGTGAAGCTACGAAGACCTCTTTCTCATTTTCTTGTATTTCTATCGAATATATAGAATTCTAAGCAAGGAATGTAAACAACATGCCATGTTTAGTTACTTTCATTTTCAACTCATAACAGTGGACCTCTTTTAAAAATACAAACATACACAACTAACAGCGACAGTAAGTGAAAAAGCGCTTGAAGTTACTTTCACTCTCCGAACGAGACAGAAAGAGAAAGATGAAGTAGTGCTCACTTTAAATCTTGGCGAAACAGAATTATAATGCAGCACATTGAGTGACAGAAAAATGGTTGCCTTCATTGTTATTTATTTAAGAAACTTGGAAGAAAACATTTTCAGGTATCCATTTGCTTTGAGCCGAGGCAATGTGAATCATATAGACTCTGTTGAGCTAAGAACACTCTAAAAAACATCTGTACCCATACGTGTGCGTATGGGTATGGCTGCGCTCATGCACAAGAAAAGTGTATTCTTTCTCTCTCTTTAAACGAATGTGCACGATTACTCAACTTCAATACGACTTGATGTAGTGTAAGTAAAAAAAAAATAACTACACAATGATCTCAGTTTGAAACTCTCGAGATTTGTTTGCATAGGGTAACACAAAAGGAGATTTAATCGAACTGAAATAAATGAAGATGGTTGAGTCAATCGGATTTGATATGTGTTATATAAGTTTGTCTGGGATAAGAACAAACACAACTCTTCGTTATGCGATACTTTTGTTATTACTTATTTTGATTGACAAGATTTCTAGTGGACCATTTTTTCAGTCGAGTTATAGATGCTTTGACATGGGCAAACATTATAAATGACAACTGGAAAAGCAATACTCAAATGACTTTTTCTCCAATATCTGTGCCAGTGTTATAAGCTATTTATATCAATAAATTCAGAGAGAAAACGAGAACCTTTCCAAAAAAAAACTATAGTATGGAACAAAAGAATTGGTTTAGTATTATTGTTGTACTTGACGTACAAAAAAGTGAGCTGTATGACTAATCATGAGTGAAGAACGAGAGAAAGAAAATGTTCGTCATTACACTTCAAGATATCATTTAAAGCGTAACTAGACATGTATCTCTCTTCCATCTATTCTCTTTCTCTTTTCTGCGAGAGTCTTTTGGCACATATATCTTGATTATAATTACAAATTGCACTCTCCTTCTCCGTTCAAATATTTGTGTCGTTGGTTTGTTCAATGTTCTTTTACTTTTGTGCATAGATCATTATACATCATTTAACACTATCGTAACGTTTTATATATCAAAATCACATACTTAAAGAACGTTAACAATATTATTCGCCATCTCTCATGTTTCATTGTCAAAATTTCCTGTTAGCCATATTCATTTGGCCATTGAGATGTATTAATTCGATTATTTCACACAGTTTATTGATAACAACAATGATGACAAGAAATCGGTATCTATCCTGTAAATCCATTATTATCTATTTTATTCTCGTGATTACTGCGACAAGTTTATTCGTCCGTATACGAACAAACAATGGTACTATCGCTACATTGTCACAATCTTCCATGAATAAGGATGCCATCGTTGAGGTACAGTCTAAATATATACATATAATGTCGAATGTTTGTTACCAGATCAAAGCTTAAGAGCCAAAGGTTAAAGGTCAAATCTCATGACGCTGAGATCTCAAGTACATCAGAGGCGAGTAACTGACACACTGTACTGTAGATTGTCTTCGGATTTTTGTAAAGAGAATATAGTGATTTACTAATTCTTTCAAGAGGAGGAGTCTTTTTTCCGTCCATGGCGTATTGTTTTACGCTGGTAGCGATAATTTTGAAAAACAAATTGGTTTTTTTCACGAAAGAAAAATCGTTTGGTGACATAGATATGGACGGTTTTTTCATGTCGTGATACTTTTATCCTTTTTTGTCTCTTGTTTCAGTGTCATTTCCCTAAATTTTCACTAAATATTGATGGTCTGAAGTTTGCTGTTCCCAAACCTATTCATCCGAAGTGTCATTCATCGTTCTTTCCAGTTTCAATCGATAACTATGCTGTACGACTTATTCAGAAGTATCTTAATTGTACTGTTCTCTTCTATTTGGGTCAAGGTGATCGTCACTATCGAGAGATACCAATTGTTCTCCCGTACAATGTTAACATTTCTCTCTTGAGTGATCATTTCATAGTTCAATGTAGGCAATCGAATGATACATTACCGTCGGTAAAGCGAACTCTCTATCGTAAATTACCTTTGATTTCTATTCGTTACGATCACAATGTTCGACGGCGACTTGCTGCTGCCACCAAGCAAAAGGACGATTTCGATGTACTCATCCTGAGTCTTGATAGTGTGTCAAGATTGCAATTCGAACGAATGTTACCCAAAACATTTGCCTATATTACCCAAAAACTTGATGGCATTGTGCTCAAAGGTCAGTTTATATAAAATTTGAACGTTTGTTGTTA